CTTAGCTTTTTCAAGTAAAGCCATCTGAGTCCCACATACAGGTTTTCTTTTTGTACAGCTTTATGAATTTTTGTGCCCCCTGCAATCAATCGGTCAACCTATGGAACGGATTGTCTTTTTATTTCAGTATGGGAGAACGGTAATTATTATTCTTAATTAATTATTTTATTTTATTCTTAATTAAAAGTTATCTTGAACATGTTTGACAAGCTAAATAAATAAATAAAATAAAATGTTGATAATAAAGCACTGCTTTGTATAAGCAAAACCCCTGGTCTGAATAATAAAGCAGATTTATTTCATTTTCATTTTTAAGATTTGTAAGGTGTCCTACAAAATGAGTTTTTTCCAGAATGATTTACAATTACAACATATTAAGAGCATCTAATGGAATTCTGAATAAGTTAACAAACAATATAATAATTAAGAGACATGACACACCAATGGTAAAACAATAAACGGAGGAACCTGAGGAGTTTCTAAACAGCAGAAGTTTTCAACACTTATTTGAGGTTAATACACTGATCGTTTAAAAGTGCTGGCAGGATAAAAAAAATTCTTTGCCTGGCGTTGAAAATAAAATGCAGTCACTCCTAGGAATATCTCACTGGGTATGGGTTAATCTTGCACCAGGCAATCCCCCATTGAGGTATTACACTCACATCTCTTGACATAAGCTCTTCATTTATATATATGGCATTTCCACCCCTTAAATTCCTAATTTCAGCTTCCAGTGCAGATTAAGGCAAGTTTAAGGAGAATTAGAAGGGCTTTAATTGATTGTATGGATGAGGTAGTGAAGGAAGCAGAGCACGCCAGGCACCTGAGAAACATGGTCCATCACACTATGACTCCCAACACAATCCGAGCTGTCCTGGACTACTCAGCTGAACTGAAGAAGGTTCTTGAATGAAAAGCAAAAGGTATTCAAATGAAAAAAATAATAAGTAAGTCCAGTTGCCTTTTGGAAAAACATATTTGGGATATTCAGCCTTCTCAAAAGGCACGTACAGCGCCTGCGCAATGCTCCACGGAGCAACTGGAGCATCGCGGAGGGTTGTGGATGTGCTAAGATGCATGTGCATGCTGCGCACCTCCATGAGGATGCCACCAGCCCCGTTCCAACCATACCAATTGGAACAGGATTTGAAACCCACCACTGGCACGGATAGAAATAAAAACATCAGAAATTCACATCTGGGATTTAGGTGAAGACTTGCAAAATCATTATTTTAAAGCCTATGTTTGATTTGTAATATGTATCTTATGTACACATGCGCATAAATCACCTGATACAGCCATCTTTAAATTTATAAACTAAGTCCCAAACTTGAGATTCTTTGCCATTTAATGACTGTATTTCAATAAGCTTATAATATACTAGACTAGAATTTAATTTTTTATTCTAATTCCATTTTGTAAAGCAAGTTTTGAATTTCTAATTTCTGAACACTTTCTCTCAATATACCTCTTCCTCATTATTGCAAATGAACAAAGACAAAGCACTTTTGGAGGGGGGAACCTGTCAAATAAATGCCTTGATCATAACAAAGGGATTGAATTAAATTCAGTAACCCCTCCTTCAATTCAGACAGTCTAAATTCTGCTCCAAATTGATTTTTCTAAATCTGATGCCTATCCTATTTCCAATGTGTTCATTATTGGCCAGTAGCACAAATGAATTAAACCTGGATTCCCATGTTAGAAAATATGTGGAAAGCATTGGAAAGGATTAAAAGGAGGAACGGAAATTCTGCCGCTTTTTTCTTTCAACTGCTGTCCGTAAAGCCTGAAGAATCATATGTTCATTGTTCAGAATATTATAGTGGGTCAAATTTATCAGCTTATTGAAGTCCTCCTCTGAGTATTGCAGAATGCCAGTAGCGTATGGTGAAAAAACAGTGCTAGTGACATCAGCATAGCCATCGTCCATCTCACTTGGAGCACGTTCCACCCCTGCAGAAAGAAAAGGAAAGAAGGAAGGAGGGAGGGAGGGAAAGAAGGAAGGAAGGAAGATAGCGAACAGATTTAATACACAGTTATAATCCAAAATTGATCATTTTATGAAGCATTGAAAATAAGACTTTAAGAAAGGAATGTTGCATCTAACTCATATTTGCATCAACGTATAATACAAGCTTCATTAGTAACAACAATCAAGGAGGAGGAGAATGGAGGATCTGCCTTTTTTCCTAAATTGTTCCATGCTGGTGGGAAAAAAAGGAGACCTATGATAACATAAAATTATCATAGTTGAAATCATCATACCAGTAATTAAATTACATCTCTTTTATCAGTTTAACACAGAAATTGAAATTTAGGATTATTGAGATAATGAGAGAAAGTTGTTTAAGTTAAGTCTAACATTAATTTTTTATTCACAACCGTATACAGTCTCATTACAGATTGACCAGCAAAAACAAAAGGAGAGGATGATAACAAAGAGATTAAATACACAGTAGTGATCCAAAATTATTCATTGTATAAAGCAGGGTTAGTCAACCTTTTCATACCTACCGCCCACTTTTGTATCTCTGTTAGTAGTAAAATTTTCTAACCGCCCACCGNGTCTCTGGCCCGCTTCAATACTTTAATTGCTATGGGGTTTTTTTTGACTTGCCCCCCCATATTTCTCTCTTGGATCTTTGTCTCTGTCTGCGTCTACTTTTTGGCTGTTCAATCTGGGTATTTCTCCCATCTCTACCCTCTTCCACTGCCTAGTTTCCAAAATGGGCAGAAATAATAGTGCACAATTTCTTCAAAACAGGTAAATAGAACTCAAGGACAATCAATGTTATTTAGCCAGTTGATTTTGGTTCTTAAAATACTGTTAGTAAATTGTCACACATTTCTCATCTAAGCCCAAAACATATTTCTCCTGCTGTGGCTAGATCAGATGTCTTAGTCAGAGATTGGTAAGAAAGGTTTTGACTGACCTCTGACAGAGATTGGGCTTTTCATGCATGGGCAATGTTTGTGTCTTGCTGTCCTCTGCTGTAGGGTTTCTAGACAACAACTAGTTTGCCAAGATGAAATTGGGAAAAGGTGGGGATTTGGCTTAGCTCTTCTTGAAATGAAAATTCTGCCTCCAAGGAAAATCAATTGCATTGATTCTTTTTAAAAAGTAGAATTTGATATGCATAATTGTGTTTATGGATAAAGAATTCTCTTGAAAAAATTCAAAAAGACACTGAGCACATACTGTATCAAATGATATCAAACCTGTTGTGGTTTCACCTGCGTTTAGGATTGTACTTGATACCTCTTAACTAGTAAAACCTTTAAAACTGTTCAATTCTCTGTGTACTGTATCAATCAAAGGCAATGTGTTGCAGTGGTAAAGACATCAGTTAGAAACCTGGAGAATGTGAGTTCTAGTCCTAGTTCTAGCCATAAAGTTTATAAAGAAAGGCTGATTGCTTACAATGGATGCCATCTGCTGGTAGCAATATAAATGTGATAATGTTTTCAGAAATCCAATGTTCTATTTGAATTTGAGGATATTTGTATGTATACCAAGTTCTTTCATGACTTTAATAGCCAGATATCTTTCTAAAGAACCCAGGAAATTTNTTCTGGCCCTGATACTTGACTGCAAGGGGTCCAGATATTTAAATTCTGTTTCCACACATTTATATATTTGTTATCTTGGATAACTTTAGACCTTTAGATTCCTCTTTCTTCCACAAGTACAATTATTTTAAAACTGGTTAAAGCAGTCAAACATCTTTCTTATTCAAGAAAATGAATACCTGTGCATTTAAATAAACTGCTTAAGGCGCATTCTCCAACCTTGTTTTATTTCTAATACCTGCCAAATGAATTGTTGCTCACAAAGCCTCAAATAACAGATATACATTTACTTGGGTCCATGGAATTTACTTCCAGATTCTTGAGGGGAGAGGGAGGGGGGGAGACTAACTAATAATGTTATAACCAAGTATATTATGCCAAGAGTTATAACTCTTCTTATTAAATAAATAACCATTTTGTTATATTGAAACATTGGTCAAGGGTTTAAACTCAATCCTGTCTATTTGTGGTTCATAGCATAATAACCAACCACTGAAATTAATTGTTAATTAACTCAATAACTTGAGTTCCAGAAATATTTTCTTAAAATATAATCAAACAGAGAGGTAAAGGAAGAAAATGGTACTTTAGTTATTCCATGCTAGGAAAACAAACAAATAAGGAAAGCAGGGGCTGCTTCCAGACAATAATTGGCAATTACCAACAACAACAAAAATAACCATCTGGACTGCCCAGTCTTTCTTTTGCCAACAAGAAAGGAGCAAGTTGTGCTTTTGTAGCATTTGAGCACCTACAATGATGTTAATTACATAAACGCTGATCCACAGGGATCTCATGAACACATCAAAGCAAAGGAGAGCTTACACGGCGATATTATAACACGTCTTGCCTTGTCATTACTCTGTCGCAGAGCCTTATTACGTGTATTCCCTTTTGCCAGCTTTATATCCCTAAATTCACTCAAGAAATTCTATTTTTTTGGTCACTGAAAAATACAAACACCTTTTAAATAGTACATAAGTTCTTTTTTTNCACACACACACACACACACACACACACACACACACACAGGAAAATGAAATATTTTGGGAAATATTAAAACTGAAAAAGATGAATATTTCTTCCCACAGATGTTTGGTCCTGCCCTACTGAGAAATGATCCCAGTAATAACAATTTAAAACTAACTCTATTTCAGAGTATGTATTTGAAATCAGGCTCCTTAGATAAGTTGACTTCTTTATACCAAATCATAGGAGCAAATCACATAAAAGCAAACTTGAGCTCACATGCTTGAATTAAGAATTGCGAAAAAGACTAAATGCTAATGAGGAATTTGAATCTGGCTTAATATATATACCTATATATTGTGGCTCAATCTATATATGTGTATATATATATGGGGGCAGCCTTACCCATCACCACCACTTTCTTTGCTCCTCTTATGTTGCTCTGCGACAGGTCATACCTCATTGTCCTGCAATTCTCCTTCTAGCCGAAGAACATTTTTCAAAGCAGCAGCAACATATTTCTTGCGCTTACAGATGAAGTCCTGCTCTTCTGGACAGAGATCGAAGCCCAAACGCATATCTGGGCTTTTCTGGCTAGATAATAGAAACTCATATCATAATGCACGCTAATGAAAGCATCATGATTTGAACACATTCACAATTTGTGCAGGCTGTGTAACTGACTATCAAGTTAACTTATGCGTGTTAAAGGGGGAAAATATTTAACTCTAGCATATTCACAATTTGTGTAAGCTTTATAGCGTCTATCAAGATAACTTATAAGTGTGAAAACGGGACAATATTTGACTCTAGTATGAATGTTTGAGTGTAATTCTGTAATGCTTTTTGTTGGGTTCATTTGCATGTTAAATTGAGAAATTAGAAAACTTAAATATTTATTTCTCTTTCTTCTATGTATATCTGCAGTTACAGTCTTTTGTTTCCTTGTGATTAAATATACTCTGTGAATGCTGGGAAATGGCCATTTCTGGTTAGTATGGAGCAGAATTTGGAATTAATAAGCATGACTTCAGAATTCCAATTAGAATTAATCAGAAATTAATCAGCTACTCAGCAGTCAGAAAGCAAAGAGATGCCATATAAAGGTGAATGGGCAGGGCTATGGAGAAGCTATATTCATGTAACCTGGAATGGCTTAACATGTGCGATTAACTTGAAATTTTATTTTGTATTTCATTAGGTGACCAATATTTCAAATTTCATTATTGTTATTTTAAAAAAGGGAGAAGCTCTAGACCATACTAAAACATCATGGCTATAAAAATATAATTCTACATACATTGTTGGGTTTAAATTTCAGACAAAGAAATTGTATTCAAATGACAATATGTAAAATTATACCAAATTCTGAATATTGGCAAATGTTTATTTCAGCTCTTGTTTAAAATGAGGGTTTTCCTTTTGGGGGAGGACTTCACCATTCTTTACCTTGTTTATTTATCTCTTTGATGAGCAAGATGAAAAAAGGAAAAAACTAATTGACCTGATTTTTAAAATATGACAAAACTGAACTACCAAATTACCAGAAATCAGTTTTTAAAAATAGGAAATAAATGGTTACCATTTTTCTTCTGTCACAAAGAATTCATATGCTTTATCCTAAAAGAAAAAAAGAATACACATAGCTTTTGAATGATCTAAATCACATTTAATATTTCTATCATTTTAAAAAGCATGGTTTGCTCTCTTGCTTTCTTAGTCTACTTTGCAAATTTTTTAAAAAATTATTAGATGATCCTACAAACTGGTTCGCAAGCTCCTCATATTACTAAATATCCATTTGCACATGAAAATTTCACACCTAGGGGAAAAGAACTTTTTTTTCAAATTAAGTACTTAGAAAATAAAATAATGTTGTTAGTTTATTTATCTTCTTACAAAATGCGTGTTAGGCCTGCAGTCATATTCCTTTTTTAGGATCTTTGGCCTGCCACACACTCTATTATTTCATTATGCTGTTTAATTAGTGTAGTAATTGGGAAGGGAATAGAAAGGAGTAGAATTGTGGAATGTGTTGTTGTCATTTCTTTCTAGAAGTCCAAGATCATCTTTTGTCTCTGCACCTCTGCACCTGAACGGAACCAGCTGGGTGGAGATGCCAGTGTGGCAGAAGAAGATTGGACCATGTGATGGATTTATGG